ATTGATACTCTCAGATTTCATGAAATACAAACATTGTAAATAAAATAGAAAGAAAAAAAGGATAATCCATAAATTTTTGAGACTGGAAAAACCTCTGAATTGCCTTTTAGCCAAATGAGAAAAACAGGATTGAATGTCATAGTTCAAGTAAATTTGACTTTATGCTGATTAACATTGGATATCACATCTGACCACCAAAAGTCAATTATTCTGCAGCCAACTTCAAGTATTTAGACAACAGCCAATTTCCCATAAAAAGTAAACAAACCAAAGTCACCTTCAGCAAGCAGAGGGAAAGGATGTAAGAAGAACACAGCTTCCCTAACTGAAAAAACAAATGGGGATTTTGCTATTTGAACTTGCTTTGGGGGATCTCATGTGGCTAGTCTCAGGACATAGGATGATTTTATAAAAATGATGCCACACATGTTATTTTCTCTCGAGTGGCTCCAACATTAGTAGGAATGTGAAGTTAAATCTGCAACCTGAGACTTGCAGGGGACTCGTGCATTTTTTAAGCCACATTATTGAAATATAATTTTTATAAAATTCACCTCTTTTAAGTGCATATTTTAATGACTTTAAGTAAATTCATCAAGTTGTGCAACCATCACTGCAATTCAGTTAAAAAATTTTTTTTTTCTTTATTGATTTTAGACTGAGAGGAAGGGAGAAGGAGAGAGAGATAGAAACATCGATGAGAGAGAACATCGATTGGCCACTTCCTGTATTTCCCCCACTGGGGATTCGGCCCACCACCCAGGCATGTGCCCTGACCAGGAATCGAACTGGTGACCTCTTGGTGCATGGATCATGCTCAACTACTGAGCCACACTGGCCAAGCATGCAATGCAGTTTTAGACCATTTCGATCACTTAGGTGAGGTCTACTGTGCCTACTTAGAGTTCATTCCCTTCCTGCCCCACCCTGGACAGCTATTAATCTGCTTCCTGTCTCTGGAGATTTGTCTATTCTAGATATTTAATATAAATGGAATAATACCTGGTGTGGTCTTTTGTGACTGCTTATTTCACTTAATGTTTTTGAAGTCCATTCATGTTGTAGCTGCATCAGTATTTCCGTTCCTTTTGTTGACCTTAAAAAACAAAAGAAGTTCCTGGCCAGTTTGGATCAGCAGTTGAGCGTCGGCCTGCAGACCAGAGAGTCACGGGTTTGGTTTCTGCTAGGGGCATGTACCACCAAAACAAACAAACAAACAAACAAACAAAAAACAAAAGAGAGATTCCAAAATGGCAATGGCATGAATGGAAGCTACACAGATCATCTCCCAGGACCAAACTGGAATTACAACTAAAGTAAAGACAAATTGTCGGGAAAAAGCAACAGAAAAGCAGTGTGCGAGGACCATATAACCAGGAACACTGAATTGATCCTGGTAGGATTGCGGAGGTGACAGCAGCGGTCTAAGCTGTGAGCAGTGCCCTCGGGATTAAAATCCCAAGCTGGGTCCACAGTGCAGAGGGCCAGGACAGAGCACTAAATTAGCCACAGCCCTTCACCTTAGGCTCCGGCAGAGAATGGGCAGACTGGACTGGAACTGTGTGGGGATACTTGGGATTTGGAGGGCACTCAGAGCTTTTGCTGAGTTATGGCTACGCAAGACAGTGGCCATCCTACTCCTTCCCAGGGCTCTGGGGAGAGGCAGTGGCCCCTCCCTCGGGGATTCAACCTCACTCAGGTGGGCCAAAGAAATGCAAATTGAGGCTCATTAAGAACCAGCATCTGCCCCACCCTCAGAAAATCCTCTTAAGCTGAACACCTGAGGGAGTTTTTAATTCAACTAAGAACCCAAAGTTCTTCAAGTAACTGAGATTAATAGCCTCCAGGCAAAAAGCTAGAGGATAACTGAGCTGTTCCTGGGCTTGCAAATCTACCCAGGAAAGTAAGACTTGACAGTGGTGTTTAACGTGGGTCCTCCCACACTTATCCAAACCCAGTAAAGGGAGCCACAAACAGCAGAACACTAACACCCACAGGGAAAATTTGGCAGGCTCCAAAACCCACTGAGATAGCCAAAATGGTGAAACAACCCGCAAATGAAAGAGTAAGAGACCTCTACCAAAGATGAGATAAATGAAATGCAATTAAGCAAGTTATCAGAGGTAGAGTTCAGAGCCATGATTTTGAGGAAGCTCAACAGCATGAGTAAGGACATCAGCACCATGAGTAAAGATATAGAAGCATTGAAAACCAACCAAGTGGAAATGAAGAATGACATAGCAAAAAATAAAGAACACATTGGAAGGACTAACCAGCAGAGTAGAGGAAGCTGAGGACCGGATCAGTGAATTAGAAGACAGGGTAGAAAAAAATCAACCAATCAGAAAACCAAAAGGAAAATACAATTAAAAAACAGGAAGACAGCTTAAGAGAACTGTGGGACAACTGGAAACGTAATAAGATTCGCATCATAGGAGTCCCCGAAGAGGAAGAAAATGGGCAAGGGTTGGAGAATATATTTGAAGAAATAGTGACAGGAAACTTTCCTAACTTGGTGAAGGAAGAAGGCATTCAAGTTTAAGAAGCACAGAGAGCCCCAGGTAAGAAGAACCCAAGTAGGCCCACACCAAGACACAAAGTAATTAAAATGCCAAAAATTAAAGACAAAGAGAGAATCCCAGTGTTCCCCTCAACTCGGGCTTCATTCGTGGCCTCTGTTTCCCTTGCATTTTCTGCAGTGTTCACTGCTCTCAGTCCTGTTTCTTTGATGGATATTGTCTATCTAGCATTTTAGGAAGGGATATATTTGCCTAAAAATGAATTGTATTCATTAATTCCAGGATGCCCCTGGGCATAAGACATCCTACTTTTTAGTCCTGCTATGTCATTAACGACCTCCTTTTCTCCAAAACTCGCTTCCCAGAGTTTTTGCAAAGGGCAGACATGCAATAGGGCATATGATGGATGTGAAAGACTCTGAAATTTGTGGATCACTGTAAAAGTGTCAGCTATTCTACTGATTATCTTATCTCGGTTGTTTTTATGGCTCTGTAGGTTCTGAGGCCTGGTGGAAAGGAATGAGTTCTCTAAAGATGAATTACATTTAATATCTCCTTTTTCCCACTGCCAAACCAGTGTGATTTTATAATGATCCTAATTCCTTTCATTGGCTTAATGGCCAAATTTCCTTCCATAGACAGAGACTCAGGGGATGGATGTTTTTTATGGATTTTTTCCTTTGGCCATATTTCCAAGTTGTAATGCCTCTTATGCTTTTGTTAAGAGTTCTCTCAAGGAAGATTTCTGACATCCCTGCTTGCCAATGTCCTGTTGGCTGGAGGATGGGTTGAGAGCCAGCCAGTCATAAAACTCAGCTGCCAGGAAATGAGGCAGCAGTTAACAGACTGGAGGACTGGAGCCCCGCCTCGGGCTGCATCCTTCCTTGCTCCATTTCTGACAGGCCTTGCCTCTTCTGCCCACTTAACCATTACACTGTTTGCATCTGATATCAAAAATGAATAGGTGCATAATTCCAACAATCCAGAAATGTATAATTTAGGAAGTCAAAAGTCATGTTATTTTATTTCCTCCTCAAAACTCCTGTTATAGATCGATTATTTCTCTAGATTTTTTTTTCTATGTATATACTAACATTTGCATTAGTTTAAAGGGCAGAATCAAATCTGACACACAGTTCTGCATTTGCTTTGTCACTTAAATTACATAGGAGAATTTTTCTTATCTTTAAATCTATATCATTATTATTAAAAATGGCACAGTATTGAATGGATGTACTATTCTTTCATTAGAATCCTACTCAAGGATATTTGGGTAGTTTCTAATATCATATTTCAATATGATAAAAAGTACTGCAAAAATATTTTTGTTCATATTTTTTTGCAAGTCTGTGCAAGTGCTTTGGTTGGATAAGTTCCTAGACATTGCTGCCTACTCTTGAATAATGGTAAATTTTAAACTGCAAAATGAGACAAAAGTAAGTTGCATTTTATTATTAGAGTAATAACTGGTGAGTGAAAGAAATTTGGTCAAATGAAAGCATGTCAATAAAACGTGTGGGTCATGGTTCACACCTCTCGCTGGTTCCCATGACTGTGGAAACATAATTCCTAACTTCACTGGCATCCTTCCTGGATTCCTTGTTAGTGAGAGAAGCAGAGCTGAGATAACAGATGGATCTGGTCCTGGCCCTAGTGTGGTTCCATGTTCTGTTAGGAAGCCGGTGTGGCAGAGTGGATGAGAGGCGGACTCTGGCCAGCCTGCCTCATCTCACACCCAGCTCTGCTGTTTGCCTGCCTTTGTGTTCTCATTGGTGAAAGCAAAGGCAATGGCATTGCCTACTTTGTAAGATGGGGGGGTGGGATTCAGTCCATTATACTTATTAGGCACATCATAAGTATTCATTACATGGTAACTATCAATATTATTAGTGCAAAAAATAGCTAAGCATTTATTGAGCACATATTCTGTTCCATACATGGAGTCAGCATTTCACAGGTATTGTCTACTTCAACCTTCACAGAACTCTATAAGCTAGGTATTACCTTCCTTACTTTACAGATGAGGAAACTGAGACTTTGAAAATTTTAAATAATCTGCTAGGTTCTCTCCATTAGTCAATGAGGGAGCCATCCCTCTGTGGTAGAGATTCCCAGGGCTTCTGTGTGGGAAGGGCAAGAATTCTCCAGGGCCAACCATGACACATTCAGAGAGAGGAACAGAATTTGTTCCACCAGTATTTGTTGATTAATAGTGGTAGCAATAAACTGTACCCCAAACACTTACAAGAAAAACCCTTTTGTGTACGATGTCGCCTACAGTGCAAACAAATGTTTTATGAAGTGATAGGGCAAATTTATCTTTCCTTGTTATTGTTCATGTTGTTTCCTCAGGCTGGAGTGATATCCTCTCTCCCTTCCAGCACCCTCCACCCCACTTTCTCTTCCTTGAACACCCAGCAGATACTCCCAACAGGAGCCCCCTCATTGACAACGTGCTGCTTCGTCCTCACAGCTCTCGGTGCCTAAGAAGCAACAGTTCGAGCGGTGGTTTGTGCTCTGGTGACCTTCACTCAGCTGACTCCCATCTTTGGACTTGATCACCTCGAGGAAAGAGCTCATTGCTCCACATGTGCTTTCCCATTCAACACATTTTTAGTAAGCCTGTACCAACTGCGAGGGCATTTGTGCCCTGGATCCCGTCTCCTCCTGTACGTTCAAAGACTTCGTTCTCGCCCTTGTCTTGTTTCTCTCCCACTCCACCGGTCTCCCCCGTGCAGGAGCACTGCCATCAGCACCCAAGCTTCTGCAGTACCTCTCATGTTTAAAAAAAGCACCTTTGGCCCTGGCCGGTTTGGCTCAGTGGTTAGAGCATCTGCCCTCAGACCAAAAAGTTGCGGGTTTGATTCCCGTCAAGGGCACATACCTCGGTTGTGGTTTGGTCCTCTCTGCCTGTTTCTTTCTCCTCCTCCTTCCCTCCCTCTCACTCTAGCTGAAGAAAAATGAAAAAATATCCTCTGGTGAGAATCATATAAAAAAAAAAACTCCTTTGCATCAAGTTTGCATCTAGCGGTAGCCCCACTTCTCCGCTCTGATTTATGGAAGTGCCTTCAGAAGAGATGTCTGTACTGCTGGCCCACTGCCCGCCTCCTAGCCTGCTCTAATCTGCCCCAGCACAATTCAGTCGCAAGTCTCTGTCACCCTCTCAAACCACTCTGGTCAGTTCTTCGCCCTCCTCTTCCTGGACCCCTCAGCCACACTGGACTCAGTTGACCACTTCCTCCTTCTTGAGAGACTTCTCTAAATTTTTACAAGCCCGCCTGTTTTCTTACAGAAAATTTTTATTTTTATAAAAGTTATACATGTCAAATCTTTTTGTTATTGTTGTTGTTAATCCTTACCTGAGGATATTTTTCCATTGATTTTCTAGATAGAGTGGAAGGGAGGGAGGGAGGGAGAGAGAAACATCGATGTGAGAGAGACACATCAATTGGTTGCCTCCCACATGACCCCAACCGGGAATAGGAATCAACCCTGCAACCCTGGTACTATGCCCTTGACCGGGAATCGAACCCATGACCCTCAGTCTGTGGGCCGACACTCTAACCACTGAGCCAAACCAGCCAGGGCTACATGTCAAATCTTTTCATCACAATTCCTTGCCCTCCCATAGTTTATATCTTATTCATCTTAATATTCTCTTTGGTCCTAGAGCACAATGTATAGAGTGAGGAAGATCTTATTTATATGAAGTTACTTCATACATACTTTAAAAATATATGCAGGTCTTTTTTTAAAAAAAACACAGATGGATTAGCCAGTCACTGAAAAATTTTATTTCACCTAGGGTGTAGGAGCAAATGGAGTGGAGGGGAAAGGGATGGGAGTAAGATTTGTCTTGAGTATGACCTCTTTCTCTAGTTTTAATTTTTGAACTCCCTAAATGTTTTACATATTCAAAAATAAACTTAAGGGTATGATAAGCAAACCCTAAACTTAAATAAAAAGCAGAAACAGATGACTCTAACTGTATATCAAATTGATAACTTGAGAAAGAAAAGATAAATCCAAGTAACTTTTGAGCACAGCACTGCAACTACATATTCTTAGTGGGGTATATTCTAAGAACAAAAAGAATGGCAAAGAGGTTTTGGAGTAGGTTTGTGGTTAGTAGTATTGATAGTGTAATTCTGAAACAATTTTGTGTGTATTATGGGATAGATCAAATTAATGAACGTACTGTTTTTGTGAGCCAGAGTTTCCACTATGGACAACGAGAGAAATGCAAACATGGAATTGGGGAAGGCAAGGCAGAGCCCTGTGCTGCTGGATTTGAGGTGAAGGTATCGAATCAACATGTGTGTATGTTTGTGTGTGTTTCCTAGTATGTACACTGAAAAGGCCTAGAAACAAGGACCTGTACCTGTGGAAATCAGCAGACCAAGAGCCAAGATCTTAGTTTCTGAATACAACATTCCCCACTGAAAAGCAACTGGTTCCTTGGAAAAATAGCTGACTCTATGTCAGGGGCAGAGAAAATACAAGGTAAGCCTGGAAAATCCTGTTGTGTCAGAAAGTAAGAAAATGCTCAGAAATTAATGGGGTCACGTCTGTTGCTAATTGTTTGCTCTGAACAATCCCTAAGCAGATGCATGGACAGGCCCTAAGACGGTGCATACAAGGAGCAACTGACTCCACTGGGTCTTCTGGGCATCCTGCTGACACACGCCTGAGGCTCACTATTTACCTCTGACTGCGAAGTCCCCCAACATTGTAGCTTCCATCCCAATCCCATCCTTCTGCCAGGAATTATGGAAAATTTCTGTGCTCTCAGTCAACCGGGTGTGTTACGCAAGATGACCAAGAATGGGAATATATTGGCTTCAGGTCCCAGAATATTATTCATTCTTTGCGTCTTTTCCCTTTCGGCTGTGCGTGTGTTGAAGGGTAGGCACACATAGTCCAAAAGGGTGAGCTAGGGTTCAGCCTCATGAGGACTGAATGAGTTATTGCCTCAGTTTGCAATAGGCAGCTACTTACATGGATATTAATTGTGAAAAAACATTGTCTGAAGTCTCTGGAGAGATAGATGTCTAAAAGAATGATCAGATACATTACCTGAGATTGTTCTTAATGGAGCAAGGTATTCATTTGGTCCAATAGAATTCTTAAAGTCAAAATGAAATTATGGCCAGACCACATTGATTGGCCTCTCGCCCAATCACACCCCATTCCAAAAGGTGCCAATTAGCTAAGGTCACCTGTTTCAGCAGAAAGCAGGAAAAGGAGGTGGTAGTGGCCCATAAGAACCTCATCTTATGAGGCTCAGGTTAAATCCTTGATAGGAAAGGAGAAATATTTATTGTTCCTGCAGCTGCAACTGATTTGAGAAATAAATCAATGGAAAGGGAATGATGTTCTGTTTTTAGGTTGTGTAATGGACATCTGTTTTTATTTACCCACTCAGCCCTCATTCCCTCTTCTGTAGCATCGCCTTCATTTCCTCCTGGGACACTGCTTCTCCACTGAGTGCTTCCTCAGAGAGACAGCTAAACCAGGTGTCCTGTTCTCCCCAGCCGAGCGTGGGGTGGGGGGAGTGGGTCAGGCAGACTCTCCTTCATTCGTGCTGTAAAAAACACAGCAGGGAAAGGCATGGAGAGTGCTGGGCGGAGTATGATTTAAACCAGGGTGGTCAAGAACAGCTTCACTGATATTTAAAATTTACTTAAGATTTTTTCCCAAAACAAACCTGCTCCACCCACCCACAGCCTTCCCTATCTCAGCTGATGGCATCTCCAGCTTGTCAGTTATATGGGCAAAAACCCAACCAAACAAAAAGGAACCGCAACGTGAAATATTCTCTCATTCACTCACACCCCACATCCATATCCTGTTTACCTTTGACATATGTCCAGAACCAGACTGTCCTTCAGTGTCTGCACAGCTGCTAGGCTGACCCACGCCTCCACCATCTCTCGCCTAGAGGATTACAGTAGCCTCCTAGATGGTCTCCTAGCTCCTGTCCTTGCTCCCTATAGTCTCTTCTCAACACCACAGCCAGAGTAACCTCTGCAGACATAGGACAGTTGATGTCACTCCTTCCTCAAAACCTTCCAATGGCTTCCCATCTCACTCAGAGAAAAGATGGTCTTTACCATGGCCTAGAAAAACCTAAATGACCAGTTAGCTACCCACTTCCATGGACACGTCTCTGATTATGTTCCCTTTTACTGATTCTGCTCAGCTGCCTGGCCTTCAGGTATGCTTTAATGTCTCTGTGCACTCTCATGCCTTGGGGCCTTTGTGTATGCTGTTCCTAGTTCCTGGGATATTCTTCCTCCAGATGTCATGACTCTCCTGCTCAACTCTCCGGAGTCTCGTGCGTTTTCTCCAGACTCAGTCAGCCGTGTAGCACAGGCAGAGCAGGCGAAGTTGAGTTGAAATTGACCATGGCATTTATCCTGGGTAAAGAAAGAAGTGCCGGGAAGAGAGGGCTGAGGGACAATTAAAGATGGATGATCAGTCCATCTGAGGGACCAGTAAAAGAGAAATGAAAAATGGTGGTGGTCAGGGGTGGGGGAGTGGGATGCAGAGAGTAGGTTAGGGAGGGTTTGTGGTTGTTGGTAATGACAGGACTGGAATGTGTCTCTGGATGTGAGTAGCCGAGGCAGGTGTGTGGGGTGGGGGTTGGGGTGGTGGGCAGGATCAGGATGAGATGAAAGGAACTGAGAAGTCAGGGCTTTGGGCAGATCAGCTGAGGGGATGTTGAAACTGCCGAGAATTAAGGTGGGAGAGGGTTGGAGAGAGGACAGCGAGCCAGGAGCTGCAATCTTCCGTGTCCTGGAGCTGGATTGCAACAAGTATGGGTGGTCCCACCTGGTGACCTGAGATTTGAAGATGCAGGTCCAGTGCTTCGAGGGGGAGTGTCAACCACTAGATAGGGCTGCAGGGGAGCAGTGTCCCCAGTGTCCTTCTAGAGGAGAGGTTAGGGATAGAGGGAGCTTGTGCTGATGACTGTGAGTTTCCCAAGGACCCAGGAAAAGGCTTCGGGAGTTTGGGAATGGTGGGCCAGGGCCATGTCGCTGGGTGAGATTGAGAGTGGAAAAGGGAGGCAATCTGGAGACCCGAGTTCTTGTGGGGGCGACATAAACAGAGATAAAAGGCATAGTGACATGAGTAATGGTGATAAAATCTAAATTCCTTCCACAGTTGAAACTTGAAGACAAGATTGTAAAAAATGCTGTGGCTAGAATGACTCAGCAAATCAACGAGTGGCCTGAACAAGTATAACTTTTTAAAAGTTGTGGGTCCCCCCCGCCAGAAAACATATAATTAATACATGCTCATGGTAAAAAAAATAATAATAATTCAAATAATTTAGAAGACCATAAATGAAAAAGTAAGAATCTACTGCTCCCCCCAGCCCTAGTCCCTGCGGTAACTGTTATTAACAGTTTCTTGGGCATTCTTTCAGCTACTTCCTATTTGTGCACCAGCATATATAGTACATTGCTTTTAAAAAATTGATAGGAGCATTATTGCTTTACAGCTTGGTTTTATCCCTCAGCAATATACTTGATATACTTTCTTATGTATATACATAAATTACCTCATTCTGCTGCATATTATTTTATTATTCACTCTATTGAACTAGTCCCCTATTGTTGGGCACCTAGGAGATTTTCAGGCTTTTCTGCCTATAAACATTGCTTCCATGAACATCCTTGAGCATTACTTGTTTTACTTCCAGTTTTATTTGAAAGTACAGAACAGATATACTATTAACTATGTGCACACTACTGGGATTAAATGCATGTTAATGTTTTACCATAATTGCTTTAAACTTTCAACTTGACGAGGCACCACTATCTTCCCCATCAAAGCAGTTATATTAATTTATACTCCCACCTGCAATTATAAGCATTCCCATTTCCCCCGCCTCCCCCATCTGTGACAATACATGGCATTGTCAGACTTTTGTTTTGCCTGTCTGCTGGTTAGGAAATGGTGCTGCATTGCTCTATGTTAATTTTCCTGAATTTTAAAACTTCAGATGTTTCTTGGCTCTTTGGGTTTCCTTCTTTATCAATAACCTGCTCTTCAGATTTGTTCTGTTCTTTTTGGCTATCTGCTCTTCCCAAAGGATGTAGGATTAATTTGCTGAAGTCTGCGAAAACCCATGTTGGGCTTATAAGGTATAGCTCTTTGAATTCTTTTTTTAGTGATTGCTCTAGAGATCATAGAGCCTTAACTTCGCTCAGCTTTTTGATTTCATACGGTATCACTTTGTGTAGAATGTAAAAATTTTGCAGTCATAGAGGTTTATTTACTCCCCTCAATGCTTTTCTTCTAGATGATATATGTATTATATCTACACTTGTAAACCCTTATTATAATAAACCTTGCAATTTTTGCTTTAAATATTATTGTGTATTTTAGAGGAACTAAGGAACTAAGAGAAAAAATACTTTTATATTTACCCACATATTTACTATTTCTAATGCTCTTTATTTTCTCCTGGAAATTCTAGTTCCCTTTTGGTACCATTTTCCTTTCATCCAAAGAAAGTTCTTTAGCATTTCTTGGAGTGGTTTAGCTGGTAACAAATTATCTTTTGTTTCATTTTAAACCTGAAACTATATTTCGCCTACATTCTTGAAGAATATTTTTCTTGGATGTAGAATTCTAGATTTTGTGTTCTCCAATGTTCTACTGCCTTCTAGCCCTTATAATTTATTATTTAAATCAGTAGAAACTAGAATGATTGTTCTTCTGTAATAAGCTACGTTTCTTTTGCTGATTTTATCTTTGGTTTCCAGCAGTATTACTATCATGTGCCCAGGTAGAATGTCTTTATATTTACCTTAAATTCACCGAAATTATTTATTCTGTTAATTTATATTTTAACTAAATTTTAAAACATTTTATTCATTATATTTTCTTTTTAATTTTTTTAAATATTCACCTGAGGATATTTTTCCATTTATCTTCAGATAGAGTGGGAGGGAGAGAGAGAGAAACACTGATGTGTGAGAGAGACACATAGATTGCTTGCCTCCTGCACTACCCCAATCAGGGCCTGGGACGGAACTGCAGCAAAGGTACATGCCCTTGACCAGAATCAAACCTTTGACTCTTTGGTCTGTGGGCCAACACTCTAACAGCTGAACCAAACTGGCCAGGGCTTGTTTGACTTTATTTTTTTGGTACGTGCTCCTAGTGGGAACCGAAACCCGGACTCTTTGGTCCGCAGGCCGACGCTCCAGCCACTGAGCCAAACCATCCAGGGCTTGTTTGACTTTTTATTTTTTTCATTTTGTTGTATATTTTATTTTATTTATTTATTTTTCCATTCATTCATTTATTTATTTATTTATTTATTTTTGTCACAGATGTTTCTCCTTTTTCCCCATTGACACCCTCCTCCCAATCCCACCCCCCACCAGCATTATTTCTATGTCCCTGTTTACACGTACATGCATATAAGTTCTGTGGTTTATATCTTCCCTTCCCCGACATCCACCTCTTCTGAGGTTTGTCGGTCTGCACCCCACTTCCATGTCTCTGGGTCTATTTTGTTCCTCAGCTTGTTTTGCTCATTATATTCCACAAATAAGTGATATCTGTCTTTCTCTGATTGGCTTGTTCCACTTAGGATAGTACTCTCCAGGTCCTTCCACGTCATCTCAAAGGATAAGAGATCTCTCTTTCGTACAGCTGCATAGTATTCTATTGTGTATATGTACCACAGCTATTTTATCCACTCATCTATTGATGGACACTTGGGCTGTTTCTAGATCTTAGCTATTGTAAATAGTGCTGCTATGAACATAGGGGTACATATATTCTTTCTGATTGGTGTTTCAGGCTTCCTAGGGTATATTCCTAGAAGTGGGATCACTGGGTCAAATGGCAGTTCAAGTTTTAATTTTTTGTGGAAACACCATAGTGTTTTCCATAGTGGCTGCACCAGTCTGCATTCCCACCAGCAGTGTACTAGAGGCCCCTTTCCTCCACACCCTCGCCAGGTGTGAGGTGATACCTCATTGTTGTTATTGTTGTTTTAATTTGCATCTCTCTGATGAATAGTGACGTTGAGCATTTTTTCAATGTCACTTGACCATTTGTATGTCCTGTTTGGAGAGGTGTCTCTTTAGGTCCTCTGCCCATTTTTTTTTTTAATCCTCACCTGAGGACATTTTTGCATTCATCTTCAGATAGAGTGGGAGGGAGAGAGGGAGGAAGAGAGAGAGAGAGGAACATCGACTGGCTGCCACCCACACGACCCCAACTGGGGCCGGGGACAAACTGCAACTGAGGTACGTGCCCTTAGAGGAAATCGAACCCGGGACTCTCTTGTCTGCGGGCCGACGCTCTAACCACTGAGCCAAACCAGCCAGGGCTCTGCCCAGTTTTTAATTGGGTTCTTTGTCTTCCTTTAGTTGAGTTGTAAGAGTACTCTATATATTTTGAAAATTAGCCCCTTATCTGACGTATCATTGACAATTATGGTCTCCCATATAATGATTTCCCTTTTCATTTTGATGGTTGTTTCTTTTGCTGTGCAGAAGGTTTTTAGTTTGATGTAGGCCCATGTGTTCATTTTTTCCTTTGTTTCTCTTGCCTAAGGCATTGTATCAGTGAAACTTCTGTTGAGTGTGATTTCTGAAATTTTGTTGCCTACATTTTCTACTAGGATTTTTATGGATTCATGAGTCACATTTAAGTCTTTTATCCATTTTGAGTTTATTCTTGAGTATGGTGTAAGTTGGTGGTCTAGCTTTATTTTTTTGCATGTAGCTATCCAATATTTCCAACATCATTTTTTTTTTTTTTAATCCTCACCCGAGGACATTTTTCCATTTTTTGTTCAGGTAGAGTGGGAGGGAGAGAGAGGAACAGAGAGAGAGAGAGAAACATCGATGTGAAAGGAACACATCGAGTGGCTGCCACCCACACAACCGACCAGGGCCGGGGACAAACTGCAACCGAGGTACGCACCCTTAGCGGGAACCGAACCCGGGTCTCTCAGGACCGCAGGCCGACGCTCTAACCGCTGAGCCAAACCGGCCAGGGCTCCAACACCATTTATTGAAGAGGCTGTCTTTACTCCATGGTATGCTCTTGCCACCTTTGTCAAATATTAATTGAGCTTATTGTCTTGGGTCAATTTCTGGGTTTTCTGTTCTGTTCCATTGCTTTATATGCCTGTTTTTGTGCCAGTATCAGGTTATTTCAATTACTATGGCTTTGTAGTATAACCTGATATCCAGTATTGTGATCCCTCCTACTTTGTTCTTCTTTTTTAAGATTGCTGTGGCTATTCAGGGTCTTTTTTTTTTTTGGTTCCATATAAACTTCTGGAATATTTATTCTAGTTCTGTGAAGTATATCATTGCTATTTTGATGGGGATTGCATTGAATATATAGATTGCTTTGGGTAGTGTGGACATTTTAATGATGTTAATTCTTCCAATCGATGAACAAGTTATATGCTTCCACTTTTTTATACCTTCCTTTATTTTTTTTCAATGACCTGTCATTTTCTGTGACTGGGTCTTTTACTTCTGCAAAAAGTTTTGCAATTTTTTTCTTTTCTTCACTTTGGATAATTTCCATTGATTTATATCTAAGTTTTTGACTTTTCATTGTCATCATCATTCTGCTGTGAATTTTAAATTTTAATTTAAAATTTTATTTCTGCAAGTCAATTCTATTTTTTTTGTGTGTGTGTGGTGGTACATGCCCCTAGTGGGACCCGAACCTTGGATTCTCTGGTCTGTAGGCCGACACTCAACTGCTGAGCCAAACTGGCTAGGGCTCTGCAAGTCAATTCTTAATATCAGATATTGTTGTTTGGGGTTCTAGAATTTCCACTGGTTGTTTTTTAAGTTTCTATTGCTCTGTTATGATTTTTTACTTTTTCCCCTTTATTGGGAACATGCACTCTATTTTGACGAGCTTACTTAACCTACCTGCTTTAAAATTCTTGTCTGCTATTCAACCTTTGGATACGCTACTGCAGTTGGTCTACTTTGGTTGTCTTTTCTCTTGACATTGGCTCACACTTTTCTCATTCTTCATATGCCATGTAATCTTGGATTATATTTTATACATTGTGATATGTTGTATAGATTCTGAATTTAGTTATATCCTTCCAAGAGTTTTTGTTTATGGAGGTAATTAACTTGATTGGACTCGAGCTACAGACTCTATCTTTCGATTGGCAACTCAAATCTCAGTTCAGTACTCTGCTTTATATGGGCTGTTTGAGTCCACCCCATATGTGCAAAGAATTGGGTATAATTTATACTCAGAATTTGAGGCCTCCCCGACTAAAACTCTCTCTTTTCTAGATTTCCCAGAGTCTACAGTTGCTCTAAACTCGGTCCTTTGGTTTATCAGTTCACAAAGACTGTGTTTTTGTTCTTTCAGAGTTTTAGCCACCCTGTGAGACACCAACTTCAGCCTGACCTCAGGCTTAAAGCCTTAAAAACAGAGACTTTTTGTTATTTCCTTCTTCCAAGTTTTAACTTTCCTTCAGAATGTATCAGCTTTTGTTCACTGTCCAGTGCCTTCATATCTGTGTGTATGTGCATGTGCGTGTGTGTTGTGTTGTTTTCTCCCACGTTTATAACTATCCAGAAAAAGCTTCCATGCTTCCTTGGTCATACTGAAAGCAGATGCTCTTATTTTTCTTTAATTTTAAATTTTTGGATTAGAATATGGTGGAACCGCTTCTCATTTATTTATATTTGCATTACTTTTTAAATGAACTGTCTGTTCATGTCCTTTGGACATTTTCCCATCCCGCCCCCCCTTTTTTCTTTTGATTTATAAGAGCTCTTGTGATGCTAACAATATTACCTCTGTCTGTCATACTTGTCACTGTTATTTCTTTCCAGATTATTTTCTTTGTTTATTTTATTTTTTTGCCCGTGAGGAAGTTTAAATCTTGTGTGCAGTCAAATGTGTCTATCTTTCATGGCTTCAGGGTTTTGGCATCATTCTCAGAAATTTCTTCTCTATCAAAGAATATACATATACTAGTATTTTTATGGAATTTAACACTCATCTATTTATAGTTTACTTTAGTGTAGGACTTCGGAGGTGAATTAACTTGTTTTTCCAACTATATAACTAACTGTACCAATGTTAACATAGATAATTCATCTTTCCTCACTGATTTTGCAATGCTAACTATATGAGTTATTAATTTCTTGTATTTTGGGATCTTTTTTATACACTCTGTTCTGTCTATTCCTGGGTTGGTATAAAAAGTAACTTAGCATTACAATATGTTCACATACTCTCAGTACGACCAGACGCTTAGTAACTTGGCTTCTTCATTTCTGAATACTTAACTTAAATTATCCCTTGATTTGCTGAATTTCATCATCAAATAGTTCTTTCTATAAGACTTCATGGAAAATTTGTTTTGGGTTCTTGCATATTTGAGAATGTCTGTTTTTTGCCTCTTCTATATGAATGACATATGCATTCTGTTTAAAATTCTTAATCACATTTTCACTCACAATTCTGTAAACATCCTTCCATTGTCTTCTGAGATTGCATATTTCAGGACAGTGTGGAGAAGTCTGAGGCTAGCTTGATTTATCTTCTTTTCTGAGTGACTTGTTTTTTCTGCCTAGATATCTGTATAATTCTTATTTTCTTTAATTCAGACAATTTCTTGGTTATATCTCTATCTTCCTTCAAATTATTAATGTTCTCTTTAAATATTTTTTCTGTTTTCACTAGTGTTTATTCTACGTTTTGTTCCTTTACTGTTTCATTTTTGTAATGTTTGTATCTTTATTTTTCTTTTATTGTCCTAAGCTCTGCCATCTCACTTTCCAATGAATTTTGTTGTCTTATCAGATCTTATTTGATCTCTCTAATTTCTTCTTTGAGTATTATATTTTCCAGAGTTTATATCTTCTCAAATTTATTTGAAAGTGTGGGAAAGTATTTGTCTGACTTTTGTTTGTTTCTGAAGTGATTCTTCTGCTGTGAATCCTTAATGTGCATTTTGTTATTATATTTCTTCCTCCAACCCCCACCAGGCTCAAGTCATGTCTATTTGTCTGACATCAAATCCCAAGTTACACTGAAGCAGGACTTAATAGACTGGGGGGGAGTCCAGACTGGAGCCACATCGGCTGGATGAGATCCCAACTCTGCCTCGCATCAGCTCTGTGACCTTGGACAACTAACCTGGTACATTACCTACTCAGAGGGCTGTTGTGAGGATTAAAATGCTTTATACATAGTACCCAATAAATCTGGGAGAATAATAGCTCTGGTTATTACTTTAGTAGGGGAGAAATAATACTTATCTTTTGTCCTTTTAGTGTTAGTTAAGGAATATACAGGCCTAATGATACTATATTGATTTCTCTTTTTGGTTCATTCTAAAAAGTGACAAAATAGGTGTTTTGTGATAGCTGTTATTATCTACCAATAAAGAACTATCCCCATCTACTGGCCACACTCAAGAATTAAACATAAAAGGCTGGTTGAGGAAAAAAATCGTTCATTTTGTAGCTACTGTGATTTGTAGCAATCTTTTCAACAGGGAGCACCCCACTATTCTCTCTCTTACACACACCCCTTCTCCCTCAAAGGGGCACCTTGGCATCAGTGCAAGCTCTTTGCTGACACGCAAGGCAAACATTTCCTTCCAGTTTGGAATTTAGATTTGTCCTCAGTGCAGGCTAGACATGTTTCCCTTCTTGCTGGCTTGTTTTTTTTTATAGACTTGGACTTCCAGATCTTGCATCTTTGTTCCAAGAAAGAGACTGCATCTAATGTTTTTCTTTTTTTCCCTTTTAAGATTCACTGAACTCACCCACACTGTCAGTAGGCATGGTATGCAACTAACACACACCATGTGTCTAACTACCATCCATGTTAAAGAGGAAAGAAAATATCTCTTAATTGGCCATTCTGTTTTTTAATTGGTCGAAGATGTAAGAAGAACTGCTAAATGGATAGTGGGGAGAGCTCTTGTTAGCTTCTGTCTAGAACTACGACTAAATCACAAAGGCGAAGTTAAGTCTTGGCCTTTGAGTCTTGAACCTTGTGAGATCAGTGCATTTCATGAGAGCCTTCTTTAGGATACGGGAAAGTGGCCATCCAGATCTGCTTTTTGGGGGACTCCCATGCTGTGAGTTGCAGGGGGCTTGGTTAGTGCAGTGACTCAGGTCAGCACAGCAGGAGAAGAAGTGAACAGCAGGATCAACAGCAGATGCAGAAAAAGACCTAGAATCTTGCCTTTGACATGTCACCATAATCAATATCAGCCCCCTGCCCACCTTGGCCTTCTTGTTACCAAGTCAACAGTGGACCAACTCTGAGTTGGCTGAGGTGGCCCTACCCTCTTCTGCCTTCCAAGCAAATTCCATCTCCCACCCTCACATTCACTGTGGCCTCCCTATGTGCCTACTCCCAATGACTCCTTGTTGAGGAACTCGCTCACATCCTCATTCCAAGGGGTGAGCCCTTCCTCGCTCCCTTCCCCTCTGCACCTCTAATCCCTGCATTCTCATGCTGCCTGCACACCGGCTCACCACCTTCTCCCGATCCCTCTGCTAGTCCCTTGCCGATCTGCTGCCTCTCCTCCCTCTCTGCTTTTCCCTCCACGCCCCCTGATTGCTCTAGTAGTCACCGTCCCTTGCCCCACAGGGTCTCTCTTTCCCATGCTTTTGTAATGTCTTCATGCTGTTTCCCCCCATTTGTGACACACCTTAACTTTTTATTACTTCTTTTCCTTCTATGTTCCCATAACACTTTGATCATGTTTCTAGTATAGCTGTCATTACAACATCCTATTATTTATGTGTCTGGTTCCTTCCAGCAGACTGAGCACCATGGACAGCAGGGACTGTCCTCCTCACTGTTTCCCAGGTCCAAGCACAGCCCCTGGCGTACAGTCAACACTCAGTTTGTTGAAGGAAAGAACATTTCTGTTACTTCAAATCCTCACTGGTTGATCAAATTTGCTCTGATGTTTATTTTCCTTTGATTTCATCTGTGTCTAAAGACTTTTTTTTTTAACTCTTAATTTGGAAGTACTTTCAGACTTTCAAAAAAATTGTAAAAATAGCACAAAAAATTTCCTTCCACTCTTCAGATTCCACAAATGTTGACACCTTACATACCACAGTACAATGATCAAAACTAGGAAATGAATGTTGGCACAGTTAATCTATAGATCTTATTCAGACTTTGTCAATTGTTCCACTAATGCTCCTTTTCTGAGCTAGGATTCAAATCGTGCATCATACATGATACTAGGCTGCCATCTCCTTAGTAACCTTTACTCTGGGACAGTTTCTCAATGTGATTTTGTCTTTCATGATCTTGACATTTTTGAAGGGCACAGTCCAGTTATATTGGAGAATGTTCTCCAAATTAGGTTTGTGTAACATTTCCTCATGCTTATGTTCAGGTTTTACATTTTTGCCGAGAATAGCCTTCTTAGTGCGTCAAGAATCAGGGGGTGCATGGTGTCTACGTGTGCCATTACTGATCGTGTTAGTGCTGGTCATGTGGCTAAGGTAGCTCTGGCTGGTGTCTCCACTCTAAGGTTATTTTTTTCCCTTTGTATTAAGTACCTTATAGGAATATGTAAATATGTTGGTTCTTATCATACTTCTGTCACTGATTTTAGTATCCTTTGATGATTCTGGACTGCTATGATTATTATTGTGGTATTTTCCAAATGGTGGACGTTCTATTTTCAAGGGTTTAAGGGAGCCGGGGAAATGGTTTGCCCACGGTGAATCGTCGAGGGCCCAAACCCAGGAATGACTAATACGTTCTCTAAATGAGGCCTGAGCAGTTGACGTAGCACTCTGGGTCACAGCTCTGTCTAAACACTTCCAGTCTGTGGACTGCTTTTTACCCTTTTCTCTCTCCACCCCCCAAATCTCCTATTTCTGGATACAAATAGGTTCTCCTGATGGGTGGTGGTGTTCCTGAGGAGACACCAAGAAGGGCTATCACAAGTAAATTGATCACAACTTAATTATTAATTCATGCCCCTAAAGTACATGCTGTGGAGATTAATGCTCCAAGCCGAAAGGTCCTTGGCTCACATTTTAGAACCACTGACTTGAAGGACAGCTGCATAGGCTAAGACCAAGGAAGTCCGTAATACACCGAGACCTACTGGCTTTGGGGGAGACACTTGCTAACCTTGAGCTATGTCATGAAATCAATAACCCTGGACATCTTTTCTAAAGCATCCGGTAGAGTTAATGAGTTTGAGGGAGGCGTTGACGATTGAATGAAACTAAGAAGTGCTAAAACTGTAGATCCTTCATAGAATGCCTGTTAAGTTCCAGTAGTCCATGAAATATAAAGTGTTTATTATTTAGAAAAATGTTCCAGTCCATAGACAGTGTGTCTGAGAAAAGAAAATCTGTCTTTCGCCACATAAGCAATGCTTCGTTTTCAGTGTGATCAGATTCCGGTGAGTTATTCTCTGGTTAGCAGGTCGGGGTAGTGCAAATCTGCAGGGTTTTAGGGGACTGCAGAGCAGGCCGCCAGGATTCTTAGCTGCATGAGGACTTCTTAGGATAACAGGTAAATGGGCTTTGGGATTTATAGTCAGGATCAAGATGAAGACAACGAAATAAGGGTAGCCTCGGGCCCTGGGGTCATTAGGCTGCAGAAAGTGGAGAATTCTGTTGAAACAAGAGACAATCAGAGATTTGGCCCTGTTTCTGGACTTAGTTTCAGTGTTGGAAAAGGAGCCTCCCAACTAAACACCCCCTTGTCCCCCAAAACTGGGGAATTACAGAGGAACATAAACAAGACCAAAAGGCCAGAGTTTGCTGAAAGACATGGGACACCTGGGGCACCAATCAGTGTCCTGGCTTTCTCCTGTGGGGTGCTACTGGCAGCTGCTGAGCTGGCGTGTGTCACCTGGAACACCTGGGCGCTGGAGCTGCGGCTGGAGGCAGAAGAGTTAGAGTCCCAGTGACAGCTGGAAATTAATCTCTGCTGCGATTAGAACCTAGTCTGTGACTTTTCACCACAGCTGGTATAGGTCAGGGACACAAAAGTTACAGTCATGACTACATTAAAAGCAAGAGCTGTTTCTTCTGTTTCGGAATTCCTTAATACTGATCATATCTTTTGAAAGCTGTAAGAAAAAAATTCTTCCCTAGGATGGGAACAGGGAAATCTTTATGTTAAAGTGGCAGTCCCAAGAGAATGTTCCAGAACCCTCCAGGAATGAACTGGCTAAGTGCTGTCTGTACCAGCACAAAAGCTGTTTGTCATGAGAACCATATTCTAAACAGAGGCCAACTTCAGAGCCATAGGACTGAGTGTAGCTTTGGTAACTCATACATTCTTCTGCGGATTCCCTTTCTCAGGGTAGCTCTGTCCACAGAGAAGTCACTGTCTAGAAATGAAGACTCTTCCCCCACCCCCAATAGGGTCCCTGGGACAAAGGTCTCATTTCACAATTCTGAACTTCAAGTTGACAGGGTCCCTTGAAGGCTTGGCTTCACCCAGCTGGGTTCTCTAAAAGAGTGACCACAAGGGACAGTTGAACATATATATCACCAGTGAACTTGAAATAACCAGGGCACAGATGGGATACTCGACATGTCATGGAGGAGAAGGACAAAGGGGTCCTGTTCTTGTCCATCACAGCACTTTGGCCCGGGGCACAGTGCACAAAGGCCATGTCCTGGAGCATTTATTGGTGACGATGCTCATGGTGCTGCAGTGAAATGTTTTACTCAGGACCTGTCTGAATCATATCAGTCAGATCTCTCTACAGACCTGGCCTCCTGTTGGGACGGCTGGATTTAGAAAAGCACTTGAGAGACCTGAGCTGGAGGGAGCGGTGGGAACAGAGCCCTGTCCAGGCTGTCTTTATTAGTCATATCAACATTATCGTTTCCTAGTCACACAATCCCAAAGGACCCACCCTCCTCTAGGATGCCCTGGGAACACATCAGGAAGAGAAGATAGTGTAAAATGCCTTGTACTGAATCTTATTTATTCCTATATTCAATTAATCATGCAATTGTTCAGTGAATATGTATTAAATGCCTCGTAAGTGGCAGGCACTGTGCTGGGTGCCAAGAATGACAACAGTGAAGGAGATGATGGGGTCCCTGCCCTTG